GATATTAACAAATCTCTAGGGGAGTCTCTTTATTGTCCATTTTCAAAATATTTATTGAGAACAAAAATTAATTATTTTTTGACGGGGAATGGGAAACGACAGCAGGCAGAACTTATGTAGAGGCGTCTATAAATTTTAAAGGCGACAAATAAAATAGAATTTTCTAAGTGTTTAATAAATAGTTACTTTTTATTCAAGAGATGCATTTAATTTTAAATAAAAATGGCATACTAATTGGGTAGTATGCCTATAAATTAATCCATATGGCATAAGTCAAAACAATATCTTAGGTTAATTTTCAAGTTATTTATTGAGAACAAAAATTAATTAATTTTTGAATACAACTATCTGCAACCGACCGCTTCTTAATAATTTTTCTTTTATAATATTTTTCCATTCCACCAAAAAATTTTGTTGGTTCGGTCTAACTCTTTTCATCTTTTACCTCAATCAAACAATTTTTTTTTTTCGAAATCACAGATTTACGAAAGAAAGCTGCGTTCACAATTCTCATGAGATCGACAAAAATTGATTGCATATTTTATTGCACTTGTCAGCGAAAAGGAAATTAATTTAATTAACCTTACACTTGCCGCCATCAAATTATTTGCCGCCAAAAATGAAATTGTTACACTTTTCCTCACCAAACAACACAACAAACCGGGCCACTGACTTGCTGGTGGCTCGTCAAGTGTTGCTGCGATGAAATGTGACAACATAGCATTTTTGTTTGCCGCCTGTGCCTGGGCATTCATTGATGATTGCTTTGGTCGTCTAAAAAGGTACTAAGCCATTTAAATTGAGAACGAACGAGCGGGCGAAGGAACAATAATGGCAAACCAAACGAAGGAACGAACGAACAACCCTCTGTTATGTGCTTGTGCCGAATGTTTTCGTTGGTCGACCGGTCGCCTTTTAATGTTGTGTTGTTATCAGACATTGAGAGTTGTGCTAAGAAGAGTTAGTTTGTCAGTTGGTGCTACTCAATAGGAAGAGCACACACACATTGTTCTTGTTGTTGTCTTGTGTGTAACACGCACGTTTAACATTCTGCAAATCACACCAGACCATGCTCTCACACACACACAAAGAGAAATACGAAAAAACATCATACACGAAGAATATTCCCTTTGGGGACATTCATTCTGTTGCGAAGTAAAAATCAAAATCACTAACAGCAGCTTGAGGAACATGACAAAATACAACAATAACAAGAAGAAGAGGAAGATGAACAACAACAACGAAAGGCAACAACTTGTCAAAAATGTATTGTGGCACTCCAGAGCGCACAACAACTGGCAAAACACGTTGTCGTGCATTACACATAGCCCTTTCCGTCACAGCTAGTCAGTCAAATCAGAGGCGAACCCCTTTTCGACTTAGATCACTCCTTGGTGGATTTAAGTGAAGATGAGAAACAAGACGACTGTGAAGCAGGTAAATGAAAAAGAAATCAAGCAGATTGTTGCCTCAAAAAACGTTTTAAATTGTGCACACACATTCTGAAATAAATTGTGCAAGGAAGTGGTGGGCCCTTCCTCTCCATTTCCATTTCAGTTGTTAAACAATCACTTGTAGAATACAAGGATTCCGTAAAGGTCTTCTGTAGGTTGAAAACAAAAAACCACTTTTGAGCATCAAGGTGTGATGACAAAATGAAAAGTGAAAAAGACTTGCACTTGAACAATTTTAGAGTGCTAAAAGCAAAATGAAATATTTAAAGGCGTTACAACAAGAAAAATGTGCTAAAAAGAACATGGAGGAGGAAGGTTCAAATTATGCACATCTCTAAATAAGTTTTCAAGTTTTTCAAATGAAGTGTTGTCCTCTTTTCCGGTACTCTTTCGCACTTAAATTATATTACAGTTCCAGAACATGTTGGCATATTTGAATTTAAATTTCATTTTCAAAGTCTTACGAAGCTTTCCAGATCTCCTCATATTTAAATGGAAATAAATGTTAAAACTATTTCAAAATAAGAATTTAAATTCTTAAAATTGGAGGGTACTTCCACCACTAAATCAGCTGAAAGAAGTTGTCATAGATGAACTAAAAAGGACAATAAAAATAATTTATTTTTGTTCTCAATAAATTCGTACATTGGTGGATATTTTTGATCACTTTAAATGTAAAATGGATCGTTACATACAAGACGAATAATTCATCATAAGGAATGATCTAGAAGTCCGTGTGGTGAGAGAAACCAGTAGTGTTGCAAGTTATTTGGGATACCATTTGTATTTTGTTTTTCTCAGGCTGAATCCCAGTTTTTTGCTTTTATAAAAAACAACTATTTATTAGTGGGGAATGTATGGCATTGTTCGCCGAGGGGTAAGGCAGGGAAGATTATAGTTTCGGATCTCGCCACTGATCCTCATCATAGAGAAAATCTTAAAAAATTATTTGAAGACGTGAGGCGCAATTAAGAACTGGAAATGGGCTAACAATGGTGGAGTTGAAGCGCCAACGAGTTCACATTAACGAGGGGTAGATGATGAATTAATAATCAATTTTTGTTCTCAATAAATGCTTAAATTAAGATATTTAATTTTTGTCTTGGCTAAAATGTTTAGATGACTTTGAAAATAGTCTGAACATTCTTTGGCCGTTACACACGATTTTAAGAACCAATAGTCGGTCTGATGAACCAGAAATGGTTATAGGTAAGCTGGTTGCAGCACCAGCTATAACTTTAGGCTTGTAACACTTCATAAATATTTAGATACCATTTTTGATAATTAATTCAGAGCTTTGTCTATATATATAAATATAAACTGATGTGTTTGGAGTACACAGTGAAGAAGTGAAGGACTAGGAGTAGACCAAATGGCCAACAAAGAAATCATTAAAGATGTACTGCAGTCGTGAGAGATTGTATAGCTGTGGTTTGTATAGAATTTGCTAAGGGGATCTAAATGCTATTAACCTTTTAGAATATTAGCTCCGGAGTTAATGAATCTATTGAATCAACTTGAAAAGCAAAGAAATCTTTATTATATAGAAGAAACTGCAGCCCTAGAAGTTCCATAAAAATTACCAGATACTCCATAAATGGTCTTCGAATATATTGCCAATCGAAAAGAGCAGAATGTCTGTAAAGACTTTTTGAAGGGCCATGGAATTTCAATAGAAGCTTAAGATAAAGAACCATCTAGAGGTGATATACTCTACAGGAAATTTAGTATTGTAGAAGAACATAAGAGTAATAATAATAATAATAAAAATAATTTTAACAGCCGATCTACTTCACTGAAAGAAATATATTTAAAGAGACATTTAATTCAGAACTGAAAAAGGTAACTCATGAGAGGCATAATTACTCGATAATCTAGGTATTTTGAAGTGTGTGAAATCAGAACAATTAGAAGTCTTTATCAATTTGATGAATTAACAAATAAAATAAATAATAATTAATTTTTGTTCTAAATAAAAATATGAATTTAACCATAAGTCTGGCATAGACTGAAATGTCTATATAAATTTTAAACGAGTCTGGTTTTACGTTTTATTATCCAATAATAAAGTTTGCAATGTTTTTGTATGGACTGACAGATAAAACTTCTTAAGCAAATAAATATAAATGGAAAAATTACAAATTTAATCAATTTTTGTTCTCAATAAAATTTTATATTAGCAGATTTTTTGTGTATCATTCGGTCTAGTTGTCTAGGTCAAGAAAGCTGCAGGTATGATCTAGAGATCTTTATAAAATCTCGGATCATTAAGACGAGAGGATTACCGGGACGATTTACTACAGTCAAAACAGTTTATAGCCACATGTCGGTTATAACGAACGAAATTTCGGAAAATGTTGACTGAAAGTTAGATAGAGGTTGGAGGCTGCACGAGAGGATGAAATGGAACTACAGGCAAAATCGCTTATAACGACAGTCAACATTTTCCGAAATTTCGTTCGTTATAACCGACATGTGGCTATAAACGATTTTGACTGTAGTAAATCGTCCCGGTATTGTCTGCAGTTTCTTTTTTAAATCTTTTTCTTCTGTCACTTTTAATATATGTTTACATATCATAACTGTAGGAAAAATCTGAAAGAAAAAGTACTTTAGCTTAAAAAAGTAAATACTTGACAAAAAAATCGAGAGACAAAGGGATAAAAAGCCATGGTAAAATTGCTTTTTATTGTTGCCTCAGCCTTTTACTTTCTGCGAAGGCTTAAAATCCTACATTTAATGGAAGTCTGTCTGCACAGATTCACATTTTCTTTTATGTTTTTCTTTGTTCCTTGTGCATCTGCCTTAATATGGGGGTGACTTTAGTTTTCTTGACACACCATATTGACTTTTACGAAAGATGAGTAAATTTCTGTGTAACAAACCCCACTCTTATTGTATTTTCTTTTTGTTTTTCATTTCATATTTTTGTTCTGATATGTTTTTCTGTTTTACTTTCCTTTTCATTCAACTCCTCAAACTCTTTAAAGATTTTTCTTTTTCTCCATTGTCATTGCTGTTCTTTGATTTTTTGCAAAGACGTGGAATGGAAAATTTGAAATTTTAATGAACTCTTCGGATTTTTTCCCTTGACACACACAACGAAATCATCTGTATAGAATCAGTTGTACAACCTGATTTTTATACTTCAAATTTGAAATGAAATTTTAAAATACTCCATAACGAATTCCATAGCAATGAAAGAATGGGGAGGTAGTCATTGAAAAACAAAAATACCTTTGGGGGCCAAGGAAAATAAAGCGAAAACACATTTCAAGGACCACAACGACGCATTATTTATTCTCCCTCTCCGCCTTCTACAGGTATAGAATTACATGGAAATGGTTCTCCATTAGAAACTCTTGCTGCGGGGCAAATAGAAAATTGCGTCGCTGGAATTTTTTCCTACTACTAGAAAATTGCGTTGCTACCAACTTTTTTCTTCTACGTTTTATTTTTGAATTTTAAATTTGCAATTTTCATATGAAAATAAATTGTTGATAATTGATTTTTCACTTATTCTGTTTTTTTCTTGATTTTTTACAGGAAAAACTCCACTGTGGTGCTCCCTGCCATGCCATGTTCTTCCCAGAAAAGGAACGTACCGTATTGAGGTATTGGGTTGGCTCATGGGCAGCCGTTTGTGTTGCCAGCTGTTTATTTACGGTAAGTGGAAAATTTCTTTAAAAACATTTTACGGTAAAAATTGGACTTAGAAGGAGAAGTAGATATTACTTATTTCGCGTAGACGTTTTTGAATTACTTGAAATTTCCCAAGGGCAGAAAAATTGTATGGGAAAATATATTGAATATCAGATTCAAATATAATCCCATATTTTGTAAAGATTTATTGAGTAGTTATGTATATAGAACATATGTATATAGAATTTTCTATTTTTTCAGTTCGACATGTCGATGACCTTGATATAAATCAAAATTTTGATGTATTTGCATTTAAAGTTAATTTAAAAATGAAGATGAAAGGCAATTGTAATTTAAAGCGTATTTTCCTGTTTTTTGTGTGGTTCCCCTACAGGTTATGTTCATTTGTGACGCTTTCAGAGGCTTCTTACCTGTCCTGAGTATAACTAATTTTAGATTGGTCGAATATACTCATTTCCAAGACTTCACCTTTTGCACTTAATAGCGGCTCGGATAAATTTTATAGACTTCGTAATGGTCAGTGGCCCCTTTCAAATTTTCCTTTCGATTGGCTATTTAGACTGCCTTGTCATTTTATACGCTTTTAGTAAATTCGTTAACTCTCCGATACCTCTTTAGAGGTGCTAACTTTTTGATAGACTGCCAAGGCCTACATCTCGTCGGTAGAGATCTCATTGAGCCTTAGCTCAGTTATTTACATTCCATAGCCTTTCAGCTTATCTCTTAGAATCCGTGGCCCATCAACTAGTCTATTAGATATCATGCTCCAATAGCTCGCATGAACCGACTATAAAGATATAAAGATTTTAATTGAATCCCAGCTGGTCTATATAGACTACGCACTTCTTCATCTCCCTAGTTTGTTAAATGTGACTTCTTAGCCCTTCGAATTCGCCAGTAATAGGTAAACTTTAAATTTCCTGTTCTGTTCGCTGCGGTAGTCGTCCAGAGCTTCAGCTTAACTATGTAGACCAACACCGCGCTTATATGTAGGCTTCTGGTCCCTTCAGGGTACATGTGTAGTCTCTACGAAATTTCTACTCGGCTTAGTAATATTTCTGGCTTGTCAGATTGCCCCTAAGAGATTCCTAGTCTATTTAGTTCAACGTCCTGGTCTTATAGCTCATCTAAAGAGACCCCTGGCCATATGACTTTGCTTGTAATAGGCACACAGAATCTTCATCTTAAATTCCCTATGTATTCACTTTGCTGTAATAGACGTTCCTAACTTTAGCTTACTCCCACTCGCTTACCTGTTGTCATCACCTTCGGCTAGTCATTGTATACTTCCCGACCTTTCACATAGCCTTTCTGGTCTTTAGTTCATATTCCTGATCTTTTAGTTCAAGTAAGAGTTCCTCAAGCCTTTTGAGATCGCCTGTAAAATTCTATCAGAACCTTTATATTTTCTAGCTAAATTTCCTGAATGTCCTGTTGGCTGTAATAGACATCCTGAACCTCAGGTTACCTATATAGGCACCCAGCTCGCTTCATGTTGGATCACAGATCTTACAGCTCAACTAGGTACCTTCACTTTCATTACCTTTCTGGCCTTTAAGCTTGCCTTCACCTTCATAACCTCTCTGCCCTTTCAGATCGTCTGTAATATATCCCTTAGCTGTCAATATAAATTCCCTGACTGTTTTGTTCGCTGTATTGGACATCTGGAACTTCAGATTAACTATAAAGATTCTTTGGTCCTTCGTCTCACAAATACAGACGAAGGGTCGGCGACCTTCTGCTCGATTTAATAAAGTTTCCTGGCCTTTCAGCTTGCCTGTATGAGATTCTCAGTATATTTAGCTGATCTTTCTGGCCTTATACCTCATCTGGTCCCCTGACTTCGGCTGTAATAGGTTACCAGAATCTTTAGCTTGTCTATATAGATTTACTGGCTCTTCTGGTCGCTCTAATAGATGCCATGACCTCTATTTATCTATGTAGACTCCCACTACCTCTACCCTTCGTCCAGCCTTTGAAGACTCTTTGGGCAATCAGCTCATCTCAATTAGTTATCTGGCCTTTTAGTTTGCCATTAAGAAATTTCCAGTCCATAAGACTACAAGGCCTGGAAGATGGCCTTGTAGACTCTTAGGTCATATAAATGCACCTGTACCTTTGAGTTCGCCAGTGATAGGCACCCTGGATCTTCAGCTTCTCTATCTGAATACCCGGTATGTTTTGGTTCCGTACTGACCTTCAGCTTACCTTTGAAGACTCCAAAATGGCATACCTCTAAGCTCCTTGTCCTATCAGCACATCAAGGAAAAATCCACGACCCTTCAGTTCGTTCCAATAATCTGCTTGGCCTTTTAGATCACTTCTAATACACTCACAGGAAATTCAGCAATTCAGCATTCAAATAGTCTAAAGCTTTTGATCTTGCCTACATATCCTTCAGTTCTCCCCAATAATCCGTTTGGCCTTTCAGCTCGCCTGTAACAGATTCCCAGACAACCTAGTCCTTCAGATCGCTTTGGCCTTTCAGCTCGCCTCTAAGATATTCTCAGATAACCTAGTCCTTCAGATCGCTTTTAATAGGTTCACTGGAGCTTTAGCATGGTCCGCATGGTAGTACGTACACATTCACGGACCATTCTGCTGGCCTGTGGAATATTCACAAACATTTACTCTCACCTCCCGATCCTTCAGCACATCGATATAATTCTTATGACCTTTCAGCTTAACTGCAGGAGATTCACAGGCCCTTCAGTTCTTTCAGGACTTCAGCACGCCTGAAATTGGTAATGGCTTCCAGCATGGTCTGGTCTTTCCGTTTCCTTGCAACATAGTCCAGGTCTATTAAGAGCTTCCTTCACTTCGTGTAGAAAAGGTCTTAGTCAAAATTTCTACATCTTTTCATACCATTCACTAAAGTTCCTCCCCTCTTCTTCTATTTCCCCATTTGTATCGTAGGAATTTGAAGAAGTAGTATGTGAGTAAAAGAATGTTTATTTATGTGCGAAAAATTCAGGAGGCTATTCGGAACGTGCCTTGAATTTTTGTCTTGATTATTTTCTTCTTATGTTTCTAATGAGTTTTTTTTGTTTGTTTCTGTACAGACTAGGATTTCTGTGACAAATTATGTGTCATAACTTTTTGTGGGCGGGAGGAGAAGGCGGAGGGATGTGGGGATCCACAATCAAAAATGGAAAATTAGAAAAATAGGCAAACAAACAGTTGCAGAATATACAAAAATGACACAAAGATGTTTCTAATTTTTCATTTCTTTCGAACAATTTGAATGCAAGGAATTCTTATTTTCGACATTTAATTAAAGTCAACCAAAGGAGGGCTATGGTGGGCTGAAAAGTTTTCTCATTAAAAATCGGGACAAATTTGAAAATCTTAATACAACAACAGCTCCATGGTTTTTGGAATTAGGTGGCAAAGTCAGCTGCAGCAGCACCAGTTGTCATCTGAGTTTCATTGTCATGGAGCGCAGGGAAAACCACGTATTGTTACGCGTTTTTCCCCAAAATTTTGTTTTGCCGTTTTAGTTTTGTTGAGGATGAATCGGATGCTGTGGATGATGGTGTGGATGATGTTGCTGGTGGCTTGGCATAGTTTACCATTTCTGGGTAAACATTTTCATTTTCACAGAAAGAAAAACCGAAACCACATCATTAAAACTTCATTTGTCATCGAAACGAACGGATGAGCGTACCGAACGAAGTCAAACAAATTCATTTGCAAAGTGCAAAGATGAAACTTTCTGTGTTTGAGCCGGGCAAACACCAAGCTGAGAGGTTAAACTGTCAGTCAGTCGGTCGGTTGTGGTGTTGGCAAATGCTGATGATGATGACGATATTAACAAAGTTTTTGCTTGCAGCTCATCACCATTTAAGTGGAGGTGATTCGGTGGCCATGGAGATGCACCAAAAAAGGGGGAGTTTCGAATAGACAAACAAACATTTTAAATAGTTCTCAAATGGAAAAACTTTTAAATGACATGCCATTCATGATTCACTTTTGAATAGCACTCATTGCATGACAAATCATGCAACAATGGTCCTTCGAGCACATCAAGAATTAAGCTAGACGACCATTAAGAGGAGTTCGAGGAGACAAGTAGTCGGCGAAAAAATGTAATATGATTTTTTTAAATGAAAGGAAGGGAAATAAATTTCCACACAGAAAATTCGAAGTATTTTTTGTGTAGCACTAGGCATGACAAATCTTGAAACAATGGCCCTTCGAGCACAGCTGGAATAAAGCTATGTGAAAAAAGGAGGATTCAGAGGGGACAAGAAACTCTGCGGATGTTGGCAGTTTGGATTTTATAGAAGAAGAAAATTGAACAGATGGGTTTTAGGGGATCCCTGTTGGAAATTTGGAGGACTTTTGTATTACACTAGGCATGACAAATCATGAAATAATGGTCCTTCGAGCGCAGCTACAATTAAGCTATGTGAAAAAAGGAGAAATTCTAGGGGACGAGATACTCTGCGAATGATTCCAATTTGGATTTTATACAAGAAGGAAATGGATCTCAAGGTTTTTAGGGGGTCCATGTTGAAAATTGGAAGTATGACACACCATGAAACAATGGTCCTTCGAGCACAGCTGAAAATAAACTATGTGGATAAGAAGAGGAGTCCGAGGAGACAAGAAACTCTGCACAGAAAATTTTAATTTGGATTTTATAAGAGTAGGAAGGTTTTTTTAGGGAGTACATGTAGAAAATCTGAACTACCTGTAATTTTGTATAGACCATTGATAGTGTCTGCAAGGGCCTGTAAGGGTACTTCATGTTCCAGATCTACAGAGATAAGCTTACGACTCTGGGAGTCCACTTACACTCCTGAAAGTCCAGGCGAGTTGAAAAGAACAAATAATATTGCAGGTGGGCTGAAAGACTATGGAGTCTAGGCAAGGACCAAGAGGATTTTTGCGGAGACTAGAAATTCCATATATGGACGAACCAAAGGATACGTTTGGGCCTTATATGCCCTCCGAAGGCCCTGACAATCTATACGGTCAGCTGATGGGTCAGCTGAAAG